TTCCAGGCTGATATCGACAAATCCACCACCACTTTCTGGGTGCAACCGCTAAGCCCATTTGCCCACCCACCTGACAATGTAGTCATCTACATCACATCCTGTCAGTTTATTTATGAGAACAGAATGTGATACTGTATCGAAGCTCCTCCTAAAGTCTAGGTAGATAACATCTACCTCGACTCCTGCATCTAAGCGTTTTGTGACCTGGTCATAAACAGAAACAAGGTTAGTCAGGCAAGATCTACCTGCAATGAATCCATGCTAATTTCCTTTCAGCATTATTTCCCCTGCTGGGCTCCCACAACTGTGATCCTTAATGATTTTTTTCCAGAGTTTTCCCAAGGATAGAGGTGAGACTAACTGGCCTATAGTTTCCTAGTTCCTCCCTCCTTCCCTTAATGAAAATAGGGACCACATTGGCCCTTTTCGAGTCCTCTAGGACTTAACCAGAGCACCATGAGTGCTCGAACAGCCGTGCCAGTGGCTCTGCTATGATGCTGGCCAATTCCTTCGGCACCCTTAGATGAAGTTCATCCAGGCCCACTGATTTTGAACACATCCAGCCACAGGTGGGCTGGTATCCCTCCTGTGTCTATCTGTGATCTAACTGGCAGATTTGTCTTGGTCTGTGTCTAGGAATACAGATGCAAAAGAACTCATTGAAGAGCTCAGCTTTGTCCCCCTTGTCTGTCACGAATTGCCCTGGTTTGTCCTGTAACGGTCCTATGCTATCCTGCACCTTCCTTTTGCTCCCTATATACCTGAAGATGGACTTTTTGTTGTCCTTAATTTTGTCATCAGCCTAAGTTCTAATCCTGCTTTGGCCTTCCTAACTGATTCCCTGGAAATGTGAGCCAGGGATGTATACTCCTCCTTGGTAGCTATCCCGTTTCCAACAGCCTGTATACCTCTTTCTTTGCCCTTAGGCTTTCCTGGATTTCCCTGTTCAGCCAAGAGGGCTTCTTGGTCCCTTTGCCCCCTTTTATGCACAATGGGATTATCTCCTTCTGTGCTCATAGCATCAATCCTTTGAGGAACAACTACCCTTCCTGGACCCCCATTTTGCCAGTGCTCTTGTGTTTTAATACCTCACTAACTAATATCCTGAGCACACTGAAGTCAGCCTTTCTGAAGTCTAGCATTTCAGACCTGCTGATTCATTTACCCATTCTTTGCCAGATAGTGAATTTACTCATTTGATAGTCACTATCCCTTAGGTTACCTTGTACCCCCAGATTCCCCACCAGGTCATCCCCTGTAGCTAACACCAAGTCCAGCAAGGAGTTTCCCTTAGTGGGATCATATACCTCCTGTATTTGGTGGTGGCCCTTTATGCAAGTTAAGAACCTACATGAGCAGTTAGATTTGGCTGACCTCCTCCCAGCAGCTGTAAGGGTAGTTTAGGTCACCCATAACAACCATATCTCTTGGCTGTAAAGCATCTGAGAGCTGTCTGAAGAATTCCAAGTCTAGCTTATCCTCCTGGTGTGGTGCTCTATAGTAGACCCCCACTACCAAGTCCCTTACCTCCCAACCCCCTTGTCTCCTGACCCACAGTACCTTGGTTTGGCCCTCCTCTAATCCCATCTTGATTATAAAGAATGTATATTGTTCCTTAACAGAGAGAGCAACACCACCACCCCCCTTTTTCCCCACTCTATCTTGTCTGTACAACCTGTAACCAGGTGAACAAGCAGCCTGAGCCTCATTAGGGTGCAGATCGGGGGCTCACACCCCTGGGACGGCTGCAAGGCTGTGCCAGACTCCTCCCAGGGGTGCAAGCCCCCAGATCTGCACCCTGGTGAGAAAAAGCTCAGCTTGCTTGTCCCACCTGGGACCAGTGCCCCCCGCTCACCTCCCCTCCTGGCTGCAGCCCCTCCACAGCTTGCCAGCAACAGCAGCCACACTCTTGGCCCCCTGCACACTGGGGGGCACTGCGGCTCAGCCCCAGCTGCCAGGTATCTGCTGCCTCTCCATAGCACGCTGCTGATTCCTAGCTCAGCGCAGCGCAGTGCAGCGCAGGGATGTGTGCTTTTGGGCAGCTCTGGGTTGTCACCCACGGCTGCGTGCTGCTTGCAGGGATTGCTGGCCACACCAGCCTAGGTTGTGCATTCACAGAAATGACCTGGCCAGATAGCGCAGGACTCATGCACGCAGGACCTGGACCGGTGTGTCTGGCAGTCTCCACAAGCAGCACGCAGCCCTGGGTGACAGTCTGGAGCTGCCAGAAAGCACACTGCCCCATACCACACCATGCCAGGCCAGGCAGCACCAGTGCGCTGTGGCAGAGGCGATGGATACCTGACAGTTGGGCCTAGCAATGCTGCCCCCTACCATGCAGGGGGCCAAGAGTGTGGCTGCTGTTGCAGGTAAGCTGCAGGAGGGGTGGAGCTGGTCAGAGAGCACATGGGGGGCTGTAGCTAAGCAGGGAGGTGAGCAGGGGGCGCTGGTCCCAGGTGGGACAAATAGGTTGATATTCCTCTCACCAGGGTACAGATTTGGGCGTTTGCACCCCCAGAAGGGCTACTGGGCTGTGCCAGACTCCTCCCAGGGGTGCAAGCCCCTGCATCTGCACCAGATGAGAGGAGGCTCAGGCTGTGGCAGTAGCAGTCTTCTCCAGTGCTGGGCACAGCCCACACCCAGCACTGGTCCCAAGTGGGACAAACAGCCTGAGCCTCCTCTCATTGGTGCACAGATCTGGGGGCTTGCACTCCCAGGAGGGTTGCCAGACTGTGCCAGACTCCTCATGGGGATGTGAGCCTCCAGATCTGCACTGGATGAGAGGAGGCTAAGGCTGCAGCAGCAGCAATCTTCTCTAGTGTTGGGCATGGGCTGCACCCAGTGCCAGTCCCAGGCAGCAGCAGCATCCTCTTGTCATCCAGTGCACAGATCCTGAGGCTCACACCCCTGGAAGGAGCCTAGCACAGCCCCATAGCCCTCCCAAGGGTGCAAGCCCCTGGATGAAAGGAGGATGGTGCTGCCAGGAAGTGTCTGGACTTTTGGTTTGACCAGTTTGAGGTGCAGTTTCCCAGACCTCTCCACATATCTCCTTGAAACTTGGCAGAATTCATGCCCTCAGAAGTGGCTACCATCCCTTCAATTTTCATCTGAATGGGGCAAGAAATGACAAAGTTTTAGGCATTTTCATGATTCTCCATTGTAGCCTATGGGCGAAACACTGAAACTCCTCAAAACAGCTAAATGGTTTCGATGAGACACAAAATGGCAGTGTTTTGAAACAGCAAAATGGACGTTGAAACAAATCAATGGTGTTTCTCACAGCCCTAGTGCATATGAGCAGACTGTCAGCAATGTAGGGTTCTTTATAGATAGCAAACAGACAAAGGGAGTAAAACTACCTGGAGTAATTACAGTTTTTATTCAAATATGCAGGGACAGAACTTGATGTATTTTCCCAATGCTTATTGATACCATTTTATAGTCCATAAAAAGAAGTATATTCTTTCTCAGACATTTTTTTCAAAACACCTTCTAATATTCTAGCATTTCTACCCATTTAATGTGTTTAATTCAGTGGTGGCTCCCATTTTTATGTATCCTTGTTTGAACCCCAACTGCCTGGAGACTAGGAGGGTCGCTGAAGAGTCTGATCCTGAGAACATTTCGACTATTTAAATTTCTTTATGAAAATGGTCTCATTGATTTTTTTTTTAATGTCGTTTAGGATCAGGACACAAAACTGAAAGACTAACTGAACTTTTTAGAAATCATTTGTTATATATAGAAGACAAATTTTATAGGGTAACTTAATTTCCAAATGTATCCAAACTCTTGAGAGTCTGAGAAATGTTGTTAAATCAACTATTTATATGAGTCCATAATAGCATTGCTATTATATTGAAGGCAGGAACAAAAATGCTCCTAGTATCATTATACTATATACATAATTTGGCCTATGATCTGATTTCTTATTTCCTATTGTAGATTGACCTTTCAGATATGTTATCAAATGGTCTAGTTGTTTCCTGCATACTTGGTCTTCTTTTTAATAAGTTTCAAAATTGTTTTTACTGAGTTATACTTTCTTGTATTTAAGTGACCTAGGAAGAAAAGTTTATGCTCTCTCTAGTTTTCCTCTTATGAAATAATTTTGAGTAACATTGCACATGGAATGTTAGTGTTGCCTAACCACGTAAGCTTGATCCTATGATATCTTGGACATTTACTGTTATTGTTGAGAGCAAAGAACTCTGAGCACCTTTCAGGAATGTGCCTGTGATCAGGGATATATGACTGATTTTATTGACTTAGGAAACTGGGCACTGTTTCCATGCCAGTTCTTTTCAAGATATATGATGCTGTGATTCACTCTGAATTATGGTTTAATTGTGGTGTAGATTAGTGCCAGACAATTTTTTGCCTCTTGAGTCAGTTGCACCTTTGGGAGCTTTGGCAGTACTTTTCCAGGCCAGCCTGAATAGATTTAGGGTTTTTTAATCTTTTCTCAAGTGAAAGAAAGAGGCCAGAGATCATGCTATGTTCTGTGTATCAGAGCCATTAGGCATACATGTTTTGTTCCAATTTAACCAACTGCCTCTGCAAACACTGAGCTGAAATTAAATGGGTGTAGTTATTACTCTGTATTAATCTAAGACACCTTCCCACAGTGTGGTGATCTTGCAGATATTTCAGACTCAGGTTGTAAAGATCCCTTTGTTCCTTCTGATTGGTTCTAGAGAGAATATCCATATGGAGGGGGCCTTTTTAGTGTGTGTTTCTAAGACTGCTATTTTTCATGACTAAATACTCCAAGGTTTCCTGGATCAATGGGACAGGACTGTGCTAGGAAAAGAGAAATCTCATAAAAATCTGCAAAGCCACAACATTGTTCTTTGTAAGCATTTCCTATGATGCAACAGAATTGTTTTAAGGGAGACCAGAAAAAAAGTTTGATTGATTGCTAAAAGACTTGAATGCTTCTGAGTGCTTCCCACTAAACACTGCCTTCCTTTTCTTTCTATTTTGAATCTGTTTTACAGGTATAAGACATGCACAGAAACCACAACGCTGCAAACGTTGCTATCCAGCAACAAAACCCAAGGTTTTCAAGCCAGGGCCTCTTTCTGAGATTTAAAGTGAGCAGCATCTGCAAAGGATAAATATCTGTGTCCACAGCAGTCTGGCTACTGATGTGTCTTATCATAATTTTACTTGCTTTGGACTCCTCTAGAGCAAATTATCCTTTCAATAAATAACTTCTGAGTGGGCAGTTTGTTTGGTTTTTTTCAGAGACTCCTCAGTCATTAAGGTGTTCTTTCCCTCTCTCTCTCTCCTCCCCCCTTTAACATCTTTCTTTCATTTCCATAAGGTTGAATCTCTCCCATAGAGAAGCTAAAATGATTCAGTAACAGCCCAGTTCACAGGTCATGAGGCTTTCCATATTTATGTGTCATCTGTAAGCAGCACTCTCAACAAATAGGAGGGCAAGCCCTATTTCCCAACCACTGTATGTGGCTTAATATGATCACCCAAATCTGTGTGGAGTTGGAAGGAGCTGCTTGTTATAAAACTACTCTTCGACAGATTAAATATTTTGTATAGAAAAATGCATCACAATTTGGGGAAGACATTTGCAGGCCATAACTTGCACCTGTGCCAGAGGCCAAAGTGAGGTTCACCTATGCAAGATCTGGATCCAGTTCAGGCCCTTGGAATTTGTCCTGGCTCTCTGCACATGGGTGAATTTCTCCCACATGAAGGAATTCAGCCTCCTGAACAGGAGTTAAGTACCACAGAGTGTTTAGGCAAACAGGTCAATATTTAAACATTCATTAAGAGGTTGATCTAGAGCCATTGGGAAGTTTTCCACTAGCTTTTCTGAGCCTCAATCAATCACTAAAGTACAGGTGATATCTTGTAGTTCCAAGAGTCAGAGAATGGCCTGACATAGTTACTGAATAATAGTCTGAATAGCTGAGTTAGTGAATAACCTCACATGCTCAGTCTTTTTACTCTGAGCAAAAGGGATCTTTCTTCCTCCAAACCTAGTGGGATTTCTGGTTTTGGACAGTTCTACCTTATCCCCAACTTCTTTAAAGTTTCTGCATCATTTGACTGATTCTGTCTGCGTGTCTTCATTGAACCAGGTGTTATTACATTTCACGTAGTCTTTCACTCAGCTGTAATAAATGATGTCAAATTTTATCCACAAATAGTCTTGTGCTTGGCACATCCAACTTCTATGGTATCTCGGCATTTTGAAAATGGCTGGCTGTAAATCATTCTGCTTTTGAGTGCTTTGTATTGTTTGTTGTTTAGCTATCATTGTATAAATTCTGTTTGGTCTTTAATATCCTCATTGTAACTTCAGGTTTGCAATTCTTTGTTGTTACTTCCAGAAGCTTAGAGATATGTGTTTTAACATGAGACACAGGCACCAAGTGTCACACACATTCAAAATGGTGAAACAGGTGCTTTGAATGTTTTACTCTTGGTCACTTCTGTTTTATAATTGATAGTTCGTGGAATATACTGGTTTAACATAGAAACTACAAGTAAATATAGCACCCGTATCTTGGATAACTGACAGTTTTGTTATCCAGAATACCAAAGGTAGCAAAAGGACATAGCAGCCCCCTTGGGTCTGCAGGGAACTTGTGGACCATTTGTGTCTAAAAAGAAAGTTATAAAGGATGGAAGACTGGAACCACCTCAAAGGAGGAGTATTCTGCATTGGTCTGGACCAGACCTGTAGGGAGCGAACCAGGAAAGCCAAGGCTGCAACTGAACTGGCTATATGTATCAAGGACAATAAAAAGTCCTTTTTTAGATATGTGGGGAGCTGGAGTAAAAGCAAAGGTAACGTTGGACCCCTGCTAAACCAAATGGGACAACTGACAACTGACACCCAGGAAAAAGCCAGCCTGCTTAATGGGTATTTTGCATCAGTTTTTCACCAGCCTCAAGGGATGGACCTGCTCAATATGGTACGGGACAGCCAGGGTGAGGCAGAATTGTTACCCTACATCAATGTAGACCATGTGAAGGAACAACTTGAGAGGCTGGACACCTTCCAGTCAGCTGGCTCAGACAGTTTACACCCCAGGGTACTTAAGGAGCTGGCAGGCATCGTAGCTCAGCCACTGGCACAGATCTTCGAGAACTCATGGTGCTCAGGTGATGTGCCCAAAGCTTGGAAGAAGGCCAATGTGGTGCCTATCTTCCAGAAAGGGAGGAAAGTAGATCTGGGGAACTACAGGCCTATCAGCCTGACCTCTATCCCGGGGAAGATCTTGGAAAAAATTATCAAAGAGACCATTCTTGACAAACTGGCTGATGGCAAACACTCCTACTAATGCAGCCCAGTATGCCATTAGCTTTCTTTGCAACAAGGATACATTGTTGGCTCATATTCAGCTTAGTATCCACTGTAACCCTCAGTTCCTTTTCTGCAGAGCTACTGCTTAGCCAGTCAGTCCCCAGTCTACAGAGGTGCATGGGATTGTGTTCCATCCAATCCTCCCATTTGTCAAGGTATCTCAGAATCCTACCTTCCAGGGAATCCACAACTCCTCCCAGCTTGGCGTCATCGCTAAACTTGCTGAGGCTATACTCCATCCCATATTCCAGGTCACTGATAAAGATATTGAACAAAACTGGCCCCACAACTGACTCCTGGGGCATTCCACTTGATACCGGCTGCCTACTAGACATCAAGGCATTGACTACTATCCTCTGAGCCCGATGATGAAGCCAGTTTTCTATCTACTTTTCAGGCCATTCATCTAGCCCGTACTTCCTTAGCTTGCTCCTGAGAATATTGTGGGAGGCTGAATCAAAAGTCTTGCTAAAGTCAAGAATACATCATGTCCACTGCTTGCCCTGCATCCACAGAGCCAGTCATCACAGCATAGAATCCATGTTGCCTGTCCCTAATCACCTTATTCTCCTCCAAGTGCTTAGAAATGAATTCCAAGAGGACCTGGTCTATGATTTCTCCAGGGACTGAGGAGAGGCTGACCAGTCTGTAATTCCCTGGATCCACCTTCTTCCCTTTCTTAAAGATGGGCACTATATTTGCCTTTTCCCAGTCATCCAGGACCTCTCCCAATCACCGTAAGTTTTCAAAGATAATGGCCAGTGGCTCTACAATCACATTGGCCAACTCCCTCAGCACTCTCAGGTACATATGTCTGGCCCCAAGGACATGTACATCTCCAGCTTTTCCACATAGTCCCTAACCTGTTCGTTTGCTACTCGTGGCTGCTCACCTTCTCCCCAGACTACGCTGACAGGTGCAGTAGTCTGGGAGCTGACCTCACCTGTGAAGACTGAGGTAAAAAAGGCATTGAGTACTTCAGCCTTTTCTGCATCCTCTGTCACTAGATTACCTCCTCTACCTAGTAATGGATCCACAGTTTCCCTGATCTTCCTCTTGTTGCTGACATACTTACAGAAACCCTTATGATTACCCTTCATGTCTCTTGTTAGCTGCAACTCCAATTGCACTTTCACCTTCCTGATTTCATCCTGCTTTCATGGGGAGAGTTTAAACTATTACCTAACTGTAGAGGAGGTCATTGGCTGTTGTACAGAAAACTCTGTTCCCAGTAACACACTGATAAGGCATTAAAATATGACTGTTCCTTGGTCATCAATATTATCATCTAGTATTTAAAAGGCTTTTCTAGATGCAAATGAGAGCTGTGTGTAATATACAGGTAACAAGGATAAACATAATATAAACAATTACCACGTGCATGTGTGTGTGTGTGTCTATAGTAATGATTAATCTGTTGTCACCAGCTCTCTTGCTTTTTATATGCCTGGTCTCTCCATGGTTAGCCACATGAATACAGTCATTGTAAGTGCCATTTGGTAAATAGTGTCTCATCTTATCCTGGCATATATTTTGGGAAGGTGGAAAGGATTTGGGGAGGACAAATCTCAGTTTTCTATTGTTCTTCGTATTGCCATTCCTACCCAAACTTTTCTTTGTAGGTAATCATCACTTTCTTATTACTCAGCACATTTCTATCAGTTAAAGGTTTTAGAAACCCTTACACATGGTCAAAACTGCAAGATTGGTGCTTTATTTGGAGGCATGTCCATAACTTTGCATATGAGAGGAGTCCCACTGAAGTTAATGGGATTACTCACTGCATCCAGTGAAGTCTAGAATAAAAAAATATTGGATTGTGAGTACAAGATTGTGGTTGAAAATATCTTACTTACCCACAGAATGAGGGCTTCAATTGTACCAGTAGGTGTGGTATTCTAACACTTCTCTGTAACTGAAGTTTTTATCCAGTATTTCATCTTTCCTTTAAAAAATGCTTGTAGCTGTTATGGTTATAAAAAATACCTCAAAAATTTAAGCCAGCTGTGAAGAACCAGTAGTCTACCTGAATCTGCAGAGCACCTGGATTCAGTGCTCAGAAAAGTATGAACTGTCTTGGTCACTGTGAAAAATGCCTCATTCTTGTGCCATAGGTAGGTGATGTTTGAAAAATGCTATCACTTTTTTCTCCCTTTTCACCTTCAGTAAAAAAACTGGAGAAGTCCAGGGAGCCCCAGAATCATGTATAAACCCCTCCAGAGGACTTGATACTGAAGGAGTCTTGTGGAGTCTGCAGATGTTTTACAGTTGTATTTTGAACATCTATATAATTTTCAGAGTACCTCCATTTTGGTGAGTCCCATGAGCAGAACTTATTTCATCAGTGGAGATTGGATGAATGTCCCCACCTTTCCCTCCTCCCTTCCACAGGTTCATTTTTTATACAGACTAGGAGGAATTATCCTATCCTATCATTCCTAATCAATGTGCTTCAACTATACCTGGGAAAAGCTCCCCACCCCCCACAAACAAGAGATCCAGTGTCCTTGATCCATTAAATCTTTGGCCTGTCAAACTGAGACAATTAACAAAAGAAAGTAGTTGTAATGTGGACATCTACCACCTTTGCACCTGGCTTGAAATTGTAACACCACCAGTTCACATTACCCAGGAAACAACTGTCAATTGGTAACAGCCTGCACTCAAAGCTAACCTAGTTTGAATCAGAATCAATGACCAGAGCTTCTATCTGGAAACAGGATACACGCAGGCAATCCCATGCCTGGGCAGAAGTGTATTGACTGTGCAAATCCAGTGTTAGGGGTGATACTGTCAAAAAGAATGGTCCCAGGTCTCCTCACCAATCCCCTGGGTGTTCCAGTCTTATGAACATGCAGTAGAATGTAATCTGTATTAGCTCTGCACGTCTA